TGGAGCCATAGCAATCCATGACGGTGTTCAAAGAGATTTAGGCAAGGGGAAGTTTTGAAAGGCAAAAATAAGAGGATTATATCAAATATTTTGAAACAATAGCCCTGAGCCACAATGACTAACGGCGGGGAGCACAGTGAAGCTGAACAGTTCCCAGGCAGGTATCCTCACTGAGTATTTTTTGTGCAATACTGTGATGTCCTCTGTGGAAAGCGGTGGCTCTGGCAGTCCTTTTCGATAGCAGTTATCAGGGAATTAAGTGTGAAGACCCTTCTTTTACAACCTCCTGGCTTTCTTTACTATTGGTCTTTAAAGCTGATGTAAGCAACTCCATTTTGACCATGACAGTGTTCACAGCTTGAAGGGAAAGTGAACTGAAATCTCCTCCACAGTATCAGTTTGTCAGATTTGTCATAACACAATATCACACACTGGGTGGCTTAAATGAGAGAAATTTATTTTCTTAGAGTTCTGATAGCTGGAATTTTTAATCAAAGTGTTCGCAGATTTGGTTTCTCCTAACAACCTTTCATTTTGATCTGCCTTTTAGGTGAGTCCTCACATGACTTTTTCCTCTGTGTATGCACATTCCTGGTGTCTCTTTTTAAATCCTAATGTCATTTTATATTCCAAAGACATGATATTAGGGCACATGCTAAATGTCTTACTTTTTAAAATTTATTATTTTTCTTTTTAGATATACATGACAGTATATTATTCGTACATGGAGTATAACTTATTCTGATTAGAATCCCATTCTGGTGGTTGTACATGATGTGGACTTTCACTGGTCATATATTCATATATGGGCATAGAAAAGTAATGTCCAATTCATTCTAATACCTTTCCTATTCCCCCACTCTCTACCTTCCTTAATTCCTCCCTTGAATGGAATTCCAATGAAATTCTTGCCCCCTGCTTCATTGTGTGCTAGCATCCACATATTAGAAACCACATTCAGCCTTTGTTATTTTGGTACTAGCTTGTTTCACTTAGCATCATAGTCTCCAGAAAATGCCATAATTTTATTCTTCTTTATGGCTGAGTAATATTCCACTGTGTATACATACCACATTTTCTTTATCCATTCATCTGTCGAAGGGCAACTAGGATGGTCCAAAAGTTTGCTATAAGCTGCTGTAAACATTAATCTGATTGTGTCACTGTAGTATGCTGATTTTAAGACTATATATATACCTAGGACTGGGATAACTGGGTCAAACGGTGGTTCTATTCCAGAGTAGTTGCACCAATTTGCATTTTTAGCAGCAATGTATGAGTGTATCTTTTCCCCTACATCTTGCCAACATTTAATGTTACTTGCAATCTTGATAATTTCCATTCTGAGTGGAGTGAGATGGAATCGCAGTGTAGTTTTAATTTGCATTGCTCTAATTCCTAGAGATGTTGAACACTTTGTTGTATATTTTTTGACCAGTCATTTCTTCCGTGAAGTGCCTGCTCTGTTCCTTTTCCACTTATTGATTGGGTTGTTTGTGTTCTTGTGGTATTAAGTTTTTTGAGTTCTTTGTATATCCTAGGGATTAATGCTATATCTGAGGTACACATGGCAAAGATTTTCTTCTATTTCATAGGATCTTTATTCACATTCTCGATGGTTCCCTTTGCTGTGAAGAAGCTTTTTAGTTTGATACAACCCCATTTATTGATTCTTGATTTTATGTCTTGCACTTTAGAAATCTTGTTGGGGAATTTGGTTACTAAGCTCACATGATAGAGAGTCGGGCCTATTTTTTCTTCTCGTAGGCACGGGGTCTCTGGTCTATTGTTTAGGTCTACTTTGAGACAAGTTTTGTGTTGGGTGAGGGATAGAGGTTTAATTTCATTTTGCTACATATGGATTTCCAATTTTCTCAGCACCATTTATTGAAAAGGCTATCTTTTCTCCAATGTATGTTTATGGTGCCTTTGTCTATTATAAGAAAACTCTATGCATGTGGGTTTGTCTCTCTGTCCTCGATTTTGTTCCATTGGTCTTCATGTCTGTTTTGGTACCAACACCATGCTGAGTAGCTATGGAGTATAATTTAAGGTTTGGTATTGGGATATCTCCTGCTTCACATTTTTGCTAAGGATTGCTTTGGCTATTCTAGGCCTCTTATTTGTCCAAATGATTTTTATGACTGATTTTTCTATTTCTATAAAGAATATCATTGGAATTTTAATAGGAAGTGCAGTAAATCTGTATAGCACTTTTAGTATTATGGCCATTTTGACATTATTAAATCTGTCTATCCAAGAACATGGGCAAACTTTCCATCTTCTAAAGTCTTCTTCAATATCCTCCTTTAGTGTTCTAGAGTCTTCATTGTAAAGGGTTTTCACCTCCTTGTTAAATGGATTCCCAAGATTTAATTGTTGTTGTTGTTATTGTTTTCTTGTTTTGTTTTTGAGGTTATTTTGAATGAAATAGGCTTCATAATTTCTCTTTCGGTTGATTCATCACTGATGTATAGGAATGTAATTGATTTATTGGTGTTAACTTTACATTTTTCTATTTTGCTGAATTTGTTTATGAGTTCTAGAAGCTTTCTGATAGAGTTTTTGGGCCTTCTAAATATAGAATCCCGTCGTCATCGATAGGAATAGTTTCAGTTCTTCTCTCACTTTAATTCAATTTTTTTAAAAATTATTTATTTTTATTTTAACTTGTATTTTTTGATGGTGCTAGGGATCAAATCCAGAACCTTGTATATGCTAAGCACATAGTCAACCACTAAGCTACATCCCAGCTTTCATTTTAACATAATTAACTTCTCAAAGGCCCTGTCTCCAAACACAGTAGTATTATAGATACTGAGAATTAGGACCTCAACATTTAAGTTGAAAGAAGACACAATTCAGTTTGTAACATCTGCCATGATCAAAATACTGAAAGCAATTACTAAATACCAAGGAAACAACAGAAAGTGATACCATCACCTTTAAATATCTAAAAGTACAATCTCTTCATGTCCTCAACCATTTCATCATTTTAGCAAATAAAAGATCCAGGTGACAGTGCCCTACTGTAAGCATAACCAAAAGTAGCTCCCCTGGGTCATACAGACTATCATAGATAGGGCAGATCTGACCAGCCGTCCAATGGTACTTTTGAGTTATTATAGAGTTAAATAGAGCAATTCAACTGACCCTCTCCCCCACCACCACCTTTTTTTTTTTTTTTTTTTTGGAGCCTACCCTTGTTCAGAAGCAGGACATTGTATGTAATGACACTGTGTACAAAATCTTTCCTTGGGTAATTTGCAAACATAGAAACTGGACCATGTCTTAATCTTCTGCCATCATAGAATACAAAGAAATTTATTTATTATCTCCAAATTCTGGAGACTAAGAAATCCAATGTCAAGTTGCCAACCTCTAGTGAGGGCTTTCCTGAGGCATCATCACATGGCAGAATAGAAAATGTCCAAAAGAAAAGGAGGCAGAACTCGTCCTTTTATAATGCCATTAATCCCACCCATGTGTGTGCCATCTCTTAAAGGTCCTATCACTTTTAAAATGATAATTCAATTTCCATCTGGGTTCAGTTTCAACAGAGTAGAACTCATGGGTCAACACGGGTCGACTGTGGTTTCACAAACATTCAAACCATAATAAAACACAAAAGGAAACCTTCTGGCGTAAGTCCTCCTGTTGATACTAAACCTTCAGAGAGTCTATAGACACACTACTTCTTACTTTTCCTAGTATCAATTCTTCCATCTCAATGTACTATTCTTTGGCTAAAGCACAATAAATTTGCCAGCAATATCTAATGAGATTGTGTGTATATTTATTAAAACCATTTGCAAAAACTGATAGTTTCTAATAAAACAAAACAAATTTATTACAACTTTAAAAATGTATTGCTAAGTATATATGCCAGAAAGAAGAATGTGTAGATACCCAAACTAATTTTACAATTATGTTTATGTCATCTTTATTCTTAGGAGCTAAACACTGGAAACAATTCAAATGTATCATATTCACACAATAAATGTGCTATATTCACACAATAAATTACTATATAGCAATTTTTAAAAATAACTATTAATATACATAATAATATGAGTGAATCTCAAAAATAGTATGTTTAGAGAATGGATTTTGTAAACAGAGTTACCCCCACATATTAACAAATGAATAGTATGCTCTTTCCCCAAATTCTTTCATTAGTTTAAAGGAATTAGGCATCACTAGCCCGATGGCTCAGAACTTGTGAACAACAGGAAATGGTTTATAGTTGCAAACTTTCTACATCTTGAGGGGCAAAACCAGCCTCTGATCTTTCATTATACCTTCTGAACTCAGCAGAACATTTGCTTTGACATCACTTGTGCTTCTAATGTCCATGTTCATTATTTGTTTCCTGTCTTGAGCCAGGTGGAGCTAATTCAGGCAAGTTATGAAGAGGGTTTATGGTCCACATGGGCTGGCAACCACAACTCATGAAGGAAGTAACATACCCAGGCCTTTCTGGAATGTGGAAAAACCTAAGCCTTATAATCTGGTTTGATATGTTTTATTCCAACCCAGTCTCTACTCAGAAACATTGGATGGGAAAGATGAATATGCATCCCATGATTGTCCATCTGAGTTGCTCATTGATGTGACTCCCACGTTGATCTATTTATCCATTGTTCACTACCAAAATGTGAAGAAGAGCTCAAATTATGATGATTATGATGTTGCTCAATTGCAGTTTTATTATATTTTCATTTTGTGTCTAAAAACTGAAATTCTGGACTCATTATATGTTCTTTTTAAGAGACTTATGCTTTAACTACTCATAGCAGCATCTGAATCATCTAAATGACTATGTTATTCATCACATTCAATAACATTTCTATAGTTAGTCTCATTAGTATGCTCAACTGTCTTTCTATATATACATACACATGCATGTGTACATATCCGTACATATATATATATATATATATATATATATATATATATATATATATATATATAATGAAAACCATGGATTTTAAATCAAAAGTTTTCTTAGACAGTTTGTCTTCAATGTTCAATTTTAAGCAGATCCCTTTCCATTTAATTCTAAGAAAAACTTTCTATTGTACCAATTTATTTTCCATTTTTAATGTGAGGAACCTGATCATCAACATTCAGTAATGCCTTAAACTTCAAATCTATATTATGGGTTGTTCACTGAAGGGTTATTTTTGTGACTCCATTAATTAATAACTGTGTTAATGTATGTCCATCAAAGGCCACAGTTACAGAAAGAAAGAAAACAATCACAATGTTGCTTAGGATTATGTGAAAATATGTGAATCTCTTCTGCTCTGTGTATATGCTTGGTCTCTTCAGCACTCAGTGGTTGCCAAGAGGTCTTTTCTTTGTTTTTTTCGGGGGCTCTTGTTTCTTAACTCGTACCTGCAATCAAAGAAGCAAAATAAAAACAGATGAGTGGCCATAATGGATCTGGAGGAAACAAAAATCAAGTTTTGGTTTGTACTGCAGTGAAGTTTATGCCTCTCTTACAAATGCATTGTTACTTCTCAACATCCTTTTGAGCAAGGAGCACTAAATTAGCACCATTGTTTTAAAGATGGCCAATACATGACTCTAAAACCTTGTGTAATCTACCCAGTTTGCACACTTAAAAGCAGGTTTGGAATTCAAATCCAAGAGCTTTTTATTTCTAATTCTATGCTATTTTATCTTCAGCATATTATTTCCACTCAATAAAGATCACCTATTCTATGAAATTAGATATGACAAAACATGAATCACTGATTCCACCTTCATGTAAAACTTGATTGAAAGCAGGGACTGCTGCAGTGACTCGGGCTACAGACAATCCTCCCCTTAGCAAACTTTAACCATTATCTTAGTATTTCCTTAAAGTGCTGCTTGGGACACCAGCTTTAGAGCGTTTTGGTAATTCTTTCTAGTTTTAATTACACAAAACCAAACTGCTTTCCAATGATGAAGTTACAACAGCCGTCTAGGGTTAGCCAAAGGACTTTAAATGTTAGAACAGAGGTCGGGAAAGAATATATGTATCTTTTATCAGAGTTCTAAACAGAACAAGAAATAAAGTTTTCTGGAAACATGGATGATGTGAAGATGATCACATACTTGCCACTCATGGACTGCCTTCAGATGCAATGTATTTTATCTTAAGGGAAAATATGGGATACTTGCATTGGCAATGGATGGATAAAACACGAATTTTTGCAAAGCTTGTAGCTAAATTCATATCCTGCTTACATTTGTTGCATATACACATTTCTCACCACATATCTGGATCTGGAAGATCAAAGTTTGAGACTGGAAACTTGAAATTTTCCATTTGGGGAGCTAAGAAGCAATAAACTATGTATTTTTGTGAATTCAATGTTATGAATTATTTAAGTGGTAATACCAGTATCAATCTTCACCCCCAAATGTATTGTTCATTTTGGAATGAAGTTGTTCATGTAGACTCAGTCAAGTGTTCCCACTGACCTGTGTACAGGCTTTGCCCATGAAGTTTTACTTATCCATGTTAAACCTTCCATTTTCTCACATGCAGTATAGAAACAATACATTTTTTAATCAAAGATTACTTGACATGATGCTTATGAGAGCACTTTGTAAATAGTAAAATTATGTGAAAATATTAGATAATATCTCATCTCCATATATAATAAATATAGACCTTACCTTTTCTCCATGTCCTTGAGGGTTTCAATAGGTGGAAGATTAAAGGACTCTGGCAGAAAGTAGGCAAATACTGATGCTACTAAGGGAAAGGTCCCAAAGAGGATGGCCGGAAGGTGGACAAAATACAGCCTCGTTGAAAGTACTAAAGCAGACAATGTTGCTGCTGTTCTGGAGGTGAAAAAGAGAACGCCCTGTATCCTTGACCTTCCAAAAGAGAAAACATTTTCTGGAAAAGTTTGAATCTGTGAGTGCAGCCTTTTCTTCAAATTCTAGCTCATGCACATCATTTCTGAGACCACCCCAGAGACAAAGTGAGGTTTCCCTGCTGTCCATGCCATGGGCTTGGTTTGCATTTACTTGGTTGTTGATAACTGACCCTTATAAAGCATTTTTTTTTCCATTTTAGACATATCTGGTTTATTTTTTCAGCCACCTATAAGGAATTTAAAGGTACATTTCTATGTTTTATACAGAATACAACTTATATGTGATTTGATGATCCCTCATCTATAAAATGAAGAAAGCATGCACTAATTCAAAGGTTATGTAGTGCAAAATTGGGGTTACCTGGTTAAACACAAGATAACAAATTTGAATTTCAGAAAAGAACCACAATATTCTACTATAAGCAGGAATCAGAAAATATTTCCTTACTGATGCGTTCATTTGTATTCAAGAATATGGAGTCTGAAATTTCAATTTCATTTGTTTCCCAGTATTCTTTCCATCTCTTTCTCTATTTCTTCCTTTCTTTTCCTCTTTCTTTCTTTCTCTTTTCCTCTTTCTCTCCTTCTTTTTTCTTTCTCTCTCTCTTTTTTTTTCTTTCTCAACTAAATCTAGCCAACCTAAATAATCTATGTGAATGTTCCTTGTAAATTTTTATATGAATCCTGGAAAGAAAAATTAGGTTTCTTTTATAATATTTGACTGATGGGGAGTTTTTTCTTATACAAATTGCTCATTTTAAAGGACAATTTATTGCAGGAAATAAGATTTTTAAAAATAAAGAAATTTTCTCAGTGATTTCAACAACTGATAGTTCAAGTTATATCAACATCTTATTTCTCTACAGAAACTGGGTAGCCATTTCACATATATTTTCTTATGATATCCACAAAAATACCTATTCTGATATGCGTCATATTTTATGTGCTTTATTTTATAAAGGTTGAAATTGAGTCTTGAAAAGATAAAGAAAATGGGAAAAGCACAGCAGATCACTCAGGAGCACACATAGGTGGGTGATGAGACAATGCCTAAAGGGTACAAGGTTTCAATCACACAAGATAAATCAGTTCTACACACTTACTTTAGTAGGTATAATACCTATAGCAGAGTTCCTATACCTAAAAGCACTGCATACTTATGTCACATATTCTCGCCAGATGTCATAATAATGATAACAAAAGGCAGGAGGAAATTTTGGGATGTGATGGATATGTTTGTGGCCTTCATGATGATCATCATTGTATGGAAGTATAGTTATCCTCAAATTCATGAAGTCAAATACATTAAATATATACAGAATTTCGTATGTTAAATCATACCAAAATAAGCTTCTTCAAAAATTAACTTTTTGAGCAAACCCAATTATTTATACTTGTTGATTTATACATATTATGTCTGTTGATTGATAGTATGTATCATGCTAGGAATTTTATGAAGTACTCTACAAGAAAGGAGAAACATGGTATGAAATAAAATCCCCTAAGATATAGAAGAACACATTTCTGTAGATGAGTTTTTTAGATGAATAGAAAAGCATGAAATGGTAATTGATAGTAAAGTGTTTTCAAATAGCATGTAGTATTTGGTAACTATAATAGAAGAGTCTTCCATGGTTAACTGAAATAGTGTGGCATTAATAGAAAAATTAATCCAAAGATTTGCTGCAAAATAAATAATTGAACAAGCAAAGTTTTAAAATACACTTTGCAAAGAAATAATTGAAATAGCTATTTTCCATGTTTTCTTTGCCATATTGTCTGAAATTCTGCTATTGCATTTTTAAAATCTTAGATTATGAAAATTATTCAAGGTTCTATATTAAAGATAGAAATAATTTAGGAAAGCAGGCATGGTGGTGCATGCCTGTAATCCCAGCAGCTCAGGAGGCTGAGCAGGAGGATTAAAAATTCAAAGCCAGCCTAAGCAAAAGCCAGGTTCTAAGCAATTCAATTAGACACTTTCTCTATACAAAACAGGACAGGGGATGTGGCTTAGTGGCCAAGCGCCCCTGAGTTCAATTCCCGCTTTCCCTCCCCGCCCAGAAAAGGAAATAATTTGGGATGTATTTCCCTTCAAGAATTGAGGCTACACTAGTGAGTAATACTGAGTTCTGTATTAGGCTTGGCATATAAGCATAATGGTTATGACCCTGTATGGGAAAGGCAGTCTTGAACGGGAATTTCTACTCATGACAGACACAGCTCCATAGTTATGATTTTGTGCAATATGAGTTCCGTATACTTTTGTCCATTCATTACTACACAATATTTTGTTTTTACAGATAAAAGTAACTTTAGAAAGACCTTTTTCTAATTTGCACAAAGATGTTCTTTGAGCCACCAAAGAGGTCATGAAATAGGCTCAGGTAGGTTATTATTCTAAGTCTGAAGAGGGTAGGGTGGGAAGACAATCATGGACTACATTCTGGCTAGGAGTTTTGGATACATGGTAATGTGGAGAGAGTTAGGAAAATGTTGCAGAATAATTTGATCTGGTAAAACATGTGCCAGGCATCGTCTGTCGATTATTCTCAAAATTCACTGAAGTAACTTTTTAAATAAATTTTATTTACTCATTTAAATCTTCTAGAGGCTTCCATTGGTATTCAACAAAAATTATCAAGATAGAATATTTGCAGTTTCTTTTCTTACCTCAGTACTGTGGCTGAGAGTTCGTTGGAAAAGATTATAAGTATGGATGTTAGGACAGAAACAGATGATCTTCCCAAGAGGTAAACAGTGAGGCGCAGAACATACATCTCTGTGAACAATATTTTGGAGAAAATATTGGGTTGTATCAACATTTACTTTTTCATTCATTTGTTTTACAAATATTTCATAAGTATTTACCAGCAGGCGATTATCTGGAATCATATTTTGCTTTAAAAGACTGGGGAAGAATACTTTGGCCTTCATGTACCCTCTGCCCTCTAAGCTTAAGATTTGGGCTTTTATTGAACAAATCAGCAGGGAAACAGATAGTAAGACAGCTTAAAAAAGAGGAATTGCAAAGCTCCTACTCTCTCACATTATATGCAAAAACCAACTAGACTGGATTAAAGACTTAAACCTGAAAGTGTAAAAGTGCTGGAAGAAAACATGAGGTAAAGCTTCTCATGTTAAAAAGAATAACTTCTGCACAGCAAAGGAAAATTCAACAGAGTGAGAAGGCAACCTACAGAACAGAATATCATCAAATCCTACAACTGAGAAGGAGGTAATTTTCAAAATACATAGGGAAATCCTAAAACTGAATTACAAAAAATAAAAAAGAAAAAGAAAGAAAGAAATTCTAAGTAACCTATTTTAAAAATGGGCAAAGGACTTCAATAGACATTTCTCTAAAGAAGATGTGTAAATGATCAACAGGTATATGCAGACATGACTAATATTCCTGTTCATGAGCAAACTGCAAATCAAAACCCCGGTGAGATATTACCTGCCTACTGATTAAGATGGCAATTCTAAAAACACAAAGATAAGTTTTGGTGAGGATATTGAGAAAAAGGATCCTCTGTGCTCTGTTGATAGGAATGTAAAATAGTACTGCAGCTATGGAAGACAATGCATAGGTTCTATAATAAAAAGAAAAATAGAATTATCACAAGAACCAATAATCTCATATCTGAGGATATATTCAAAAGAATCAAAATGAAAACGATGAAGAGATACCTACAGTCCCATGTCCATTGCAGCTTTATTTACAACAGCCATAATATGGAAACAGCCCAAATATCTAGATACAGATGAACAAATGAAAAAAAAATATATATATAGTATACAATACAGTGAAATGTTATTCAGCCTTAACACAAAAGAAAGAAATTCTTTCTTTTGAGACATTATGAATGGACTTAGAAGACATTATGCAAGGTGAAATGAATCAAGAAAGAAAGACAAGTTCTGTCTGATTCCTCATATACTAGGAATCAAAAATTTCCAAGTACAAATGTCAACAACAGAATGATGGCTGCTAGGGAATGGGCATGTGGGTACAAGAAGTTGCTCCATGGTTATCAAGTTGCAGTTACCCAAGCTAAGTAAGTCCCAGAGACCTGCTGATCAGGATGGTTTCCAAAATTTGCAATAAGTTATTGTGCACATAAAAATTTGTTAAGAGAGTGGACTTCATGTGAACTATTCTTACACTCTTTCTGGTGCACCCTTTCTGTCTTTCTTCACCAAGTAAACCCCCACTTATCTGTAGTGACTCAACTCAGATGACATCTACAATAACTGGCTATTTATCAGGACTATATACATGTACACATACACAGACCCTTAACTGGATCATTTGTTCACAATGCATGCAAGAAAATCAGTAGATTCTGATAATGTTATTTGGTAGAATAAAGGCTCAGTCTCAAAGGAATTTATATTCAAGTAGAGGAAACAAAGAAAAGTCCAGAGGTGATGGTCTATGATAGTCAAAGGTGAGACGGTTGGAAACATGTGGAAGCACAAGAAAGACACTCAACTTAAAACGGGGCTGGGAGGAAGGCTTTCTTGAAGAAGTGACATGAAAGTGGAGACCAGATAATAAGAGGGACTTTGTAAGCTAAGGTGGAAAGACATCTGGAAGATCTTGTCTGAGAAAGAGAATTATTCACACATACCTACAGTTTTTTAAAGTGTGAACTAAAGTTTAAAAAACTAGCTTCCAGGGACTATATTAAGAGAATAGTTTATAAAGCATATATTACATAGAGCATATTTATAAAGATGCTCATACAAAGAAGAGGCTGGCTAAGGAAAAGTTAAAAGGGGTACAGCAGGATGCGGAGATATTTCGGACACCTAGGCTGCTCTGCAGAGAGGGCACTGGCAGGACTAGTTAGAAAATAATTAGAGCGAGGAGTGGTGGTGTGAGAGTTTGCTCTTCATGGATGATAGTCAATAGAGGTCAATGTATAGAAATAGCAATAAGAACAGAAATAAGACAATAGACTCAGGATTTACTTAAGTTTATAAATGTGTCATCCTTAGAACACAAATCTTTATTCCCCACAGCCTTCTTAACTTTTGCCAAATTATTCCCCTTCCCACATTTTTAAAATGCAGTTTCACTAAATACCTTTGTCAGAAACATGAAAATCATTTTAACTGACTGATTTTTTTTTCTCATTCTTTATTTTCAGTGAATTCCCAAGATTTGGGGATTTTTTCCTCCACAATATGTCTTGACTGCATACCCTGTTTCCTATTCCTAAGGATACTGCCCTTCTTCAGTCCTTAATTGCCTCCCATATAATAAGACTAACCACGGCCTGTGACTCTAGCTTTACATTCTTTCTATAAATACACTGAAATCAGCCATACTGACATTGTCCAAAGAGAAAACTGCAGTTTTGATTGATAAAGAACTTCAGTAGCATATTATTAACTAAAGATAAGTGATATATATATTCTTTTTTTAAAATATATTTCTTCTTTTTTAAGACATTTTTTTAGTTGTCAATGGAGCTTTATTTTGCTTATTTATATATGGTGCTGAGGATCAAAAACAGTGCCTCACACATGCTAGGCAAGTGCTCTACCACCGAGCCACAACCCCAGCCCCAAATGATATGTTCTTGAACCAACTCATTACCTAGCTCCTACATCCTCAACATTTATAATCTAATAATGCAATGACCAGAACGTTTCCAAAATACCTTCTGCACATATTTTCTCTTCCTGCTCTCTGTATTTCTCTACTACTACCTGTACCTGTAATCTCGTCCTGTATTTCTTCATCAGGTAAATCCCTACTTTCGAGTAGTGACTAAATTTGGAAGCCATCTAAAGAGACTTTGGAACTAACAACTTGTAATTAGCACAAATTACATGAGGCTGTGGGGCCAAGCACATATTGCTACTTTCAGTTTTCCCGGTTATGACTTTATTTTATCAGTAATATTTAGTGCCTGGTAAAGCTGGTGAAATAGCTTCTGTTCAAGGAAACCATAAAGATGGACCTCTATTTATTAAGCAATATATGACCCTCAAAGCACCTAGATTTTGAAACTAGACTGCAGCGTTCTTCTTGGCAGTAGTCGAGTGTGAATTCTGTTTTTTTATTTGGCCCTGTTTAAAGACTTGCATTTTAATGAGATTCTAAACGCAGAAAAGTCTCACCTTTAGGCACAAATATAGGGATCAGAATAGAAACTCCAATAATAATTAATGAAAAGCCGCTTGAAGGGCGACGGTTGATATACTTTAATATAAAATAGGAAAGACATTTGCTGGGAAAGTCTGTTATTCCTAGTAGAAACTGGGTCAGGAATATGTTTTTCCCCAAATTCTCAATATCCAGCAGGAGACCATAGAAGCTGAATGTTACTGAAAACCTGTGAGAGAAAGCAGAAAGGTATTCAATATACTCAGAAATAAACATCCTTGTGTGTGTGTGTGTGTGTGTGTCTGTGTGTCTGTGTGTCTGTGTGTATACAAGCACATGTGTGTTTGAAATCTGTATTTCCTTCACACTTGATTAAAATCAAAATATTTCAAGTATGCAATGAAATGGAAAGATTTATAAGGCAATGGAATTTATTTAGTAAAACTTGAAAAAAATGATCAATGAAACAAAGTCTCAGTGAATTGAGCTAGGGGTTAAATAACTCAATTTATCAAAAACAAAATGCATTTGGTCTAAGTTCTGGATAGGAGTATTCCAAGATCCAAAATGAAAGCTGAAAATAATTTAGTCACAAAGAGAAAGAAAAGATGATTTATTTCATAATTTCATAGAAGGTCATTATGTTCATCTAGATTTTTACATCTCTTAAAAAATAATGTTGACTTATAATATCTTTGTAATTTGAAAAGAACTAACATGACATAAAAATCAATTTTCTGTAATTAGGAAGAAAATATTAGTAACTTTTTATTTGAAATTACTAGTTAAATTGCAGTAAATTAAATTCCATGCATATATGTCAAAATGAACCCAACTATTATGTATAATTTATCAATAAGAGCAAAAAATGTCAAATCACTACAGTTTATTAAATCAGTAGAGTAGAATAATAGACATAAGCAATGTCTATACATGAATATCTACATAACTTTATGCTTCATACTAAATTTATATTCTATAAGAATATGAATTTTATGATCATAATATTTTCAGAGTTTGATTTTCTAAATTCATTTATACAGTTTTCCTAGGTAAGAAATAGATTCATTATTTGAGTCTTAAACATATTGACTTGTACCTAGTATGCATCCATACATCTAAATGAACAACCAAGAAAATGAGAGAGGAGTTATTTCCCAGAACATGAGGACAAAAGGATAATTTTTAAAAATCTCTGTTGTAATTTTTTTAAATCTAGTATATACTTTTTGTCAATTCTTAAAATACCTACTACAAAGATAAGATGTAACTCTCTCTCCAATTGCCTATAGTTTTTAGGAGACCATAATTATTTTTAAACAGTACTAGAAAATGATGGTAAATTGTTTTAAAAGTTTAGAATAATTTTAACATTTCAGTTTATATTTTGAATAATATCATGTTGATTCAGGCCATTCTGACCTGTTTACTTTATTCAGATACTAGAAGATCTCAAATAGCCACACAGGCGTATTTGTTCATACTTATTTGTATGTTTATAATAAGTGTTGGAAAACACATAGCCCTTTTTAGTGATGGTCCCCATATTTTAAGTCATGGGCTCAGTCTGTGAGTTGACAGATTCAGCATAAGCATTCACAATAACAGTCAATGGGTCTTTGGGGAAGACATGTAACTTCTCTTGCTCTCATTTTGCTCATCTTCAGATTTGGGCTAATCATACATATCAAATGATCAAGCTATCAATTTTTTCCTTTATCGATTTTTGTAAAATGCATCAATCACTTCCAGTGCATCACTTTATCCAGGTTTTCTCATGTAACTATACAATGTATTTTTTAAAAATGTTCATTTAAAACAATTGAAAACCAATTGGGGTAGGATTCTAGATCAGCCTTTGACAAAACTTGATATGGAATTTGTATCTATATAATTCAAAATATTATGTTATTAACCTTAGGACTATGGTGCTTTGTAGTAAAATAAGATGGATCAATTCATCTGAAAACCAGCTTTCTCTTTCCTCTCATTTAATAGAACTTTTTTGGGGTCTCATTTGCCTTTTCATTTTGATCTTTCTATTTCTCCAGTTTCTATAAATCGTAACTATTCCGTAGGCCCATTTCCAAAACTTGACATCATATAGGTTTCTTTATCATTTCCTAATCCTCTTTGCATTTCTTTTTCTGTTATTTTGATTAAAAGGGTGGAGGATTTGCACCCTTAAAGCAGGCATTCCCCAAATTGCTCAGCATGATCCTCAAACTGTGAATGTGTGTTCAAAGATGAAAAAGCAAACCACTTACCCTAAAACGGACAAAAAAAGCACTGTCTTGAATACTGCAGGTTTGCACATGATCTCTTTTATTCTGAAAGATTCTCTCTTGGTATTCAATTCTTCCTTCATTTTGGATATCAAAATCTTCACACACACACACGCACACACACACACACAAAAGCAAGATATTTAGAGTCAGGAAAAAGGTCTTTTATTTCCAAAATTGTTCCTTCTGCTCCCTGGAGCTGCCAATACTCTATTGTGGAATCAAAGAAACAATGATTATCTTATAAAACCACATTAGCATGCATGAAATTTAAAGCAGCTAACAATCGATAAGATGATTTAAATCACTGGAAAAAAAACAATATTTAAATGAACATTTAAAATCATATCACTTATATATTTATAAAACTTCTCTCCAAGTGATACAAAATGTTGTGGAAAACCTTTTATGAAGGGTCTAACAATTGTGAGATTATTTATTGCTTGTTAGGATCATTGATGTACCCTTTTGAAAGAGCTCTAATTAGCTAAATCATGTTCACAACTGAACCACAATTATCATAAAACCACCACTAAATTCTCGTTAAGAAAATCCCATTACATTAATTACTTAAAGTCATTTGTAGTCCCATGGTGGTGAGTCTCCTCCCTGGTGAAATACTTGAAGCATTTCAATTAACTTTCTTTATTGTATTACTGGAGATTTTGATATATTTTAGATTTGATAATTATTTGTACAATAATTTGATTTTATATATTCAAGAAATATATAGCAATAGACCAGTTTTATAGATTCAAACTTTGTAAACATTTTTAGTTAAGTAATTATATGTATCCCTTTTAAAATTTAAAACATTACAGTGTAATCAAAAACTGGGATATTCATATCTGGCTTTTTATCTACTCTCCCTGTAGTCTCAGCCACCATCTCTCAAGCATATTTGAAGTCTTATATGTCCAATATATCATATTGGATCAGTTTCCCATTCAAATGTTATACATTGTATTTACCCCCAGGAACCTATTAATCCTCCTGGTGGTTTTCTTTTCCTAAACGGGGAGAATGATTATAATTGATCAGCCATTCACATAAATCTATCAAGAGAATCAAAACTCATTAGATGCATATAAGAGCCTAACTTATTGCAGACGGGAGAGTAGACAACACTAAAAAAAAAAAAAACCAAAAAACACCCATGATGTGCTTTATTGGATTAGACTTTTCCATCTAGAAAATATTGTTGATAGCTATAAACTGTAAATAATTAAAATACTGTTTTTGGGATCAATTTACTGAGATTTCATTCAATATCTTTTAAAGGGACCTAAATCACTTCAGGTACATGAGAGACCTGGATAATTCAAATATTACTTCCTCTTAAAGATATCAAAAAAACAGCAATTTTAATATGTTTTAGAGCAACCCATGAGCAGGGAATGTCCTGACAGAGAATGATAAGAATAGATGTTATTACAGAGAATCAGAAAGAAAGAATATGGATACAACTGTGACTCTTCATTTACTTCAATACCTAGTATGATGAATACTTGTGAAATACCTGTGCACCTGCCTCTGGTCAATTCTTTTAAAATTCCCAGTATAATATCAAAATAATTGTGCAAATCCACAAATACTGGGTATACACAAAGGGTGGTAGTAATAATAATAATTGAATTCAAGTCTGTCCTGACTTCTGTCATTTCTTGGCTATGTATACCAATAATCTTACTCATTTTTTTTTTCATCTGTTGATGATAGAGAGAAGTGTATTGAAAGAAGTTGTACCCAGGTTTCCCTTACCTCAGAAGTCAGACTTTCTGCCACCTCTTTCTTTCCATTAATACGAGCAATTCTCTGGAGCTCTTTTAATGCTTGTTCTGTTTTTCCGGTTGCCATGAGCCATCGGACTGACTCTGAGATCCCACTGTTTAAAAGGAGACAGGTAGAATTTCTGCAGGGTGATGTCACATTTCAATCCACAGAGATGCTTGTCCATTCATGGACAGCGCTAATCTTTCCAGAACATTGTTTAGAAAGGGTTAACTGTGGGGTTAATCAACTCCCTACCTACACTTCAACCCTGTTTCCAGCCACTCTATACTTCCACAACAGGAAGAAGAATGTTTACATTTTTGTTTGTTTGTTTGGTTGGTTTATGAGTAAGCTGTAAAGATTCCCTGATTCAAAATATAAATGTTCTTTCCTTTCTCTGTTTTACATTTTTACTTCAGAAATTACTGCCCCTTCCATGTGTGACTCTGAGTTTCTCAATTTTTTGAGTGTGAACCTTCTGAAGTTCTTAGAAGTTTGAATATTATCAAAATTTTATATTATCATATACTAATTGATCTCTAGTATTTTATCTCTGAGAAGATTAATTAAAATTTATGAACACCAAAATAAGTGCTTGGGAAACAAAAGACTATGTTATTTCTCCCCTAAACATAAACCAGAAAAGGATCCGTCTTCCCACCCTGCCACAGTCTCTCATGTAGCCATGTTTTGCTGTGGGCTGATCTGGGAAGGATCTCAGCAATCAAGCAAAAACAGGATAGAGGAAGCAAAATTTTAAGCCATAAGCTCACCTAATTTTATAATAAATTTACTAAAGGGCTCATTCTTTTATAATTGACTTTTCTCTTTTAATTTTAAATAATTTTTTTTTGGGGGGGGGCGGGTATTACACCTAAAAATGGCCCTGAGAGCAATGAATGGCAATATATTCCTCAGTAGAGATAAACTTGTATGTGTCATAATCACTTAAGCAAATGGCTCTGTATTTACCAAAGTTCACGTACCAGGAAAAGAGAGAAAGAATGAGATAGGGCAAGGCAGTGACCAACTGGAGCATGTGCCAATCCCGGAAAAGGTAAGCCACGCCTGCAAATGATGCCTGGCCAATACTCCCAGATAAGGAGAAAAGCATGGTAGCCACTAGTTGCCATTTTGATGAGTTTCCTTCAAAAACTAAAGGAAAGAAAAAGCAAAAGAAGATATCTAAAACCATTTGGGAAAGATGACTGAAAAACTGTCATAGCACATGTGCACAAATCAAGACAAACTTACGAAATACGCAAGTGCTGTTGAGAATTGCACTCAGGCAGACAGATGACACGAATCTCAGAATACAGTAAATGGTGAAGACCGGAGCGAAGGCACAGCAGGTGCTCAGGATTCCATAGGCCAGGCAACAAGAGACCATCACTGGCTTCCGTCCAAATCTAGAGTAGCAGTAGTTAGTGAAGAATCTAGCAAGTGGTGACATGTCGTCAGGGCATTCCTAAAGAATGTCCAAAACTGAGTTTCTAGTTTTCTAAGTAACTACAACCATAATGTCACCCCCATAATGGTCACTCTAGAAATGACCAGTAAACTGAGATTTGTTTTTTACTTAAATGTTAGAGTCAAGTCACTAATTGCATGCCATTAATACAACAGAATTTACACAATAATGTATTAAAATAATTGTGCAAATCTGCAAATACTGGTATACACAAAGGGTAGTAGTAATAATAATGATTGAATTCAAGTCTGTCTTGACTTCTATCATTTCTTGGTTATGTATACCAATAATTTTACTCATTTTTTTCAACTGTTGATGAAAGAGAGAAGTGTATTACTTAAATATTAGAGTCAAGTCACTAATTGCACGCCATTAATACAGCAGAGTTTACACAATACATTTACCAAAATAATTAGAGTGATTTTTTTTAAGACAAAAAAGGTGCCATGCTCAGTGGTTCACATCTGTAATCTCAGCAGCTCCAGATGCTGAGGCAGGAGGATCGTAAGTTCAAAGCCAGCCTTAGCAAAAGTGAGGCACTGAGCAATTAAGTGAGACCCTGTCTCTAAATAAAATACAAAACAGGGCTGGGAATATGGCTCTGTGGCTAAGAGCCCCCGAAGTTCAATCCCCAGCACACAAATCCACCCCCCAAAAAAGACAGAAAAGGTGTAAAGGTGCAAATGGTACCATATGACTGACATTTTGTTCCACTCACTGTTATAGAATGAGCACTAGATTTAAAATATCAATCCACATTGATCTATGCCTAAAAAGTTTTAGTTCTATGAGTGTCTTCATAAGCTGTGTAGATGCTACCTTTCAAACATGTTTTACATATATTTTTAAAACAAGGCACGCAATTTCAGGTAACTATCTTTTCTAGTTCTTTGCTCAAAGATCAGCAAACCAACTTTGGGAGAAAAGACTGTTTAGTACTCTTTAAAAAAATAATGATTGTTTCCAAAGTATGACTCACAAAGGAATTTAATAAATTGTGATAAAAGGTCACAAAATAAAAACTTTATTATGATTTTCTTTGTGCATATGGTGGCAGAAATTAAATCCAAGATCCAGTGCGTGCTAGGCCAGCACTCTACCACTGAGCTACATCCCCAGCCCTACAATAAAAATTTATCTTAAATTTTTATCCCTTAGTGAGATAACATTTTACTATAGCTGTCCATAGAGCAGCAGAACACTTTACCACACAGGCAAGTCAATCTTTTCAGTTATGATCTCTTCTCATCTCAATCCCCCAAAGTAAATTTACCCTGTTCTCTTCATAATTGATAAAAGCAAGAGTGATATATTTTCTTTGGAGAACTGTAAGTGCAATCTCCACTGTAAGTTCTTTAGAAGTGCTACCCGTGTAACTCATGGAAAGGATAAGAAAGCTAATATTTAGAATTTATCATTTCCATTTTATAGACAAGAGTGATAAATATCAGAAGTATATGAAAACAGTGTGGGCTTCTTTCATGCTTTACAGTAAATTCTAGTTCTTTGAATTTATATTATAACACTTACCTCAATGTGCAGTTGATAACTTATAGATCATCTATTTTATCTACCTTGTTTATAATATCAGTATATGTGAAGGTTGTCATTGATTTGCATATTTGTTTATTTCAGATATACTAGAACTCAGATTAGATAATTTGTCCATTTCTGGTCCTGTTTCCATCAAAGTAAGTACCCTCCAAGTTTTAATGCCTCTCTATATTCTAATTCTCACCTTTGATAGATATTTTGAGAATTAACTGGATTATTTTCTTCCTTATTAAGATTAATATTCTTAATCTTTTGTTTTCAATCTGCCTTATTATTAATCTGGATCCCTCCCTTATCCTTTTCTCTCTAGTCTGTTTCTAGAAATTTTATCCATGGTTTTCTGACCAATCATCAAAGTAGTAAAATTTTTCCTTCTTTTCATAAAATTTATTAAAGTCTACCCACAAATGAATCTCCCTATATCACTACATTAAGAACACTACATATATTAAAAAATACAACATGCATGCAATGAGTGTTTTGAGTTATCACATGTTTCTGGTTGTCCTCACTTCCAAATTAAAGGAGAAAACAAAGATTCAGTGCTCATAAAAAAAAAAAAAAAAACTTAGCTTCTTAACTTTATCTCTCAAGGTTACCTTTTTCAAGCTTTATTTGTCAATCATACTTGTTATTCTACATTTCTTAAACATTTTTGCCTCCCTGTTTTTGTTTGTTTGCGCCTACCTCCATCCTGGGAACTTTCGATTCTTTATGGACAGTTCAAGCTCCACTCCTATTGGCCTGTGCCAGGGACTTCAGTCTTTCAACATTTCATATTTCCATGAGACATATCCATCTATCATTTGGTTTCCATTTTTTGCATACTTAGATTATTTTAATGTATATAATTATTAATAGAAATGTGCACAGAGTCTTTTCAAATGCATAATTGGGTTTTCAAAATGAACCTTATTCAGAAGAGAAATCTCACCTGTCAGAAATGAGGCCACATAGAGCAGAGCCCACCAAGTGCCCTGACAGGGCGATGGCTTGTGCAAAGTATTTGAATGACTTATAATCACACACCAAGTCCCACTGGAAAAGATTGAATAGAAAATGGTATCCGTAAATAATTAAAAATGGCAGTCAAGAGGATGGCATAAATACAACTACTGAGTAAATTGGTTGTTTTTTTTTGAAAAATTATAAAAATTACTTTAATATTGACAATAGCTATATTCTGGACAGTAGACTAGAATCTGGAACCTATAATTGCTCAATATTGTAGACAATACTTGTATTACAATAAAGTTTAAAATCTTGGTGGCCAAAGAGGAATGTAATATGTACATGAGAAGTGTATCAATATAACAATTTTCAATGAAAGCTAAGTTCATGATCCTTTAAAATCATAATACAAGTTAGCTTTCCCTCACCATCTAGAAAGTAGCAACAGTTTTCTCCTTTGAATTCTTAGCTATTGGATTTAAGTTTAGTATTTTGACTGCAGGACAAAAGCCATATTTAATATAAAATTATTTTTATTTGTACAACCAGGAAGAAAATGAGTTTTCTTTCTAGCAGAATGCATAGTCAGGTTAAGGTTATAAAGAGAAGATGATTCAAGTACGATTTTTCTACTTTGCACAATTAGAAACCAACCAACCAACCAACTAATGAGCTGGAGGGCAAGGGAAATAGAAAGATGAATGGGGAAGAGCACAAGAGAAGAAGAAAGTTTAGACCAACTGCATTTCCAACAAGTCTTCTACAATCTCTTCCATCTATCCATCCATCCATCCAACTTTTTCCACGCTCAGTGGAGGATGCAATAGAAGCCTATGACAACAACTTCAGAGGAGTACAACTCACACGAGACATAAAGTTTCTTTAAAAACTCTTTTACAGATGATGCATGCTGGGGCATTGTATCATCGCAGGACAGGTATTGATAAGTTCAGAACAGCTTTTGTGACTGTAATGAGATCCTAGAGCAACAAGAAGAATCTATAAAAGTTATATGGAATATGCATAAATATGATACATTGACGGAGAAGTCAAGGGAATAAAAAATCAAGGATAGAAAAAAATGGAATGAAATCAAATAAAATATGTCTTCAAAACTAGTATGTTGTAGTGACAGTGTAGGTGTCTCCAGTGATGAAACCATGTGGGTTGATACACCTTGCTCAAAAAAGAGCAAGAATCAGAAGCACCCACAATGTGGACAGTGGTATAGCTTTGCACACTCTCCATCTCCAAGGTCTTGGTGTTGCACAGGACTCCTTGAACCAATTTGTCTTATGAGTGAAATATAAGAAAAGCTTAAAAAGATGAATTTATGTTATTCACTGAGAACATACCTATAAGAAGGAAAAATAAAAACATAAAAGTAACTGAATTGCAAAAAAAGAAAAAAAGAGGCGATTATGTCATAGAATATTACAGATCCTATGCTTAAAAATGGAAACTCAAAGCTAAGCAAACTGAGTAAAATAATAGTAATTTCCAGATGCTACAACTTAATTGAACATACCGTGAAAATTCTTCAATGACACAAAATGTGGTAACTGCTAGAAAAGAATGTGTAGCACAAAAAAGGATTTGTCAAAGACCAACAGATGTCCCTAAGAAGGAGAAATCTTTAAACAGAGACCTGAGTTAGGCATACATGGAGCTAAATTGAGAGGGCATTTTAGAGGAGGATACATGCCAAATAGATATAAAGTTGGAAGGAAAGACCACAACATTGGTGGTGAAGTTGTGTAGTATGCAATAAAGTCTCCTGTAAGCAAAAGGCAGTATAATAAGGAGTGGAAGTTACATAAAATTAGAATATAATAAGAGGCCATAAGATGAAGAATCTTGAAGCAAAGTTACAGGGAATGCTCCATTGGGTAGAAGGACCCGTTAGTCTGTTGATACTTAAAACAGTACATTGCTGGTGGGACTGCAAATTGGTGCAGCCAATTTGGAAAGCAGTATGGAGATTTCTTGGAAAGCTGGGAATGGAACCACCATTTGACCCAGCTATTCCCCTTCTCAGTCTATTCCCTAAAGACCTAAAAAGAGCATACTACAGGGACACTGCTACATCCATGTTCATAGCAGCACAATTCACAATAGCAAGACTGTGGAACCAACCTAGATGCCCTTCAATAGACGAATGGATAAAAAAAAATGTGGCATTTATACACAATGGAGTATTACTCTGCATTAAAAAATGACAAAATCATAGAATTTGCAGGGAAATGGATGGCATTAGAGCAGATTATGCTAAGTGAAGCTAGCCAATCCCTATAAAACAAATGCCAAATGTCTTCTTTGATATAAGGAGAGTAACTAAGAACAGAGTATGACCGAAGAGCATGAGAAGAAGATTAACATTAAACAGGGATGAGAGGTGGGAGGGAAAGGGAGAGAGAAGGGAAATTTCATGGAAATGGAAGGAGACTCTCAGGGGTATACAAAATTACATACAAGAAGAAGTGAGGGGAAAGGGAAAAAATACAAGGGGGAGAAATGAATTACAGTAGAGGGGGTAAAGAGAGAAGAGGGGAGGGGAGGGGAGGGAAGGGGGGATAGTAGAAGATAGGAAAGGCAGCAGAATACAACAGACACTAGTATGGTAATATGTAAATCAGTGGATGTGTAACCGATGTGATTCTGCAATCTGTATACGGGGTAAAAATGGGAGTTCATAACCCACTTGAATCAAAATGTGAAATATGATATATCAAGAACTATGTAATGTTTTGAACAACCAACAATAAAAATTAAAAAAAAAAAAACAGTGCAAAAGTCCTGTCACACCGGAATACTTAATGTTTGTTAAGTTAATCAATAATATCCCAAGGTTAAACCAGGATCTTCAGGCTTTCATTAAATGCAAACTCATACCTTATGAGAGTGAATAAACCTAAGCACAGACCAGAGATAGAGAAAGTACTGGAACCACAGTCCCCTGGTTCACTCTGTAACCTTGGATAACTGACCTTTCTCAACAGTTCATCTCTTTACTCTTTACAGAATAAATTGCTTACAGGAGTTATATTGAAACATTTTTTGTTCATTTTCTACTGAAATATTAAACTAATTATGGAAAACAGCATCAAGCTAAATTTTTGAAGTGAATATAATATTACATAAAAATATAAAGCTAACATAGAATATGTTGATGGATGAATACCAAACCTGCAGTTATTCTATCCATGATAATCGTCTACCAGAATATCACATTTTTAAGCTTTCTATAAATCAATGCAAAACTTTTATTAAAAAACATATTAACATAAAGAAGAAGATGGTTTTATTTTAAAATTGTTACTTAAAAACATAATGGGAGTAAACATTTTAATAGAATATGTCAAATATATGGCTATCCTACTAATTGATAGTTTCAAAGTGTATAAAATATACAAGATTGTTTAAGTTAAGACTTGAGACTTATCCCTAATTCAGCATCTCAATATCTAAAAGGAGAAGCCAGACCAAGAATAGTAGATGACCATGAAAACCAGATGAACAAAGCACAAATATCTGAAGTTTGTATTCCTGATTTTCATTAAGTTCCCCAGTCATACAGAGTACTATTCTTCTGATAAAATAGGTTATGAATTCAGTACATTTCCTTTAATTGCAAAGTACCTAACTAAACATTTCTACTCGACTCATTAGGAACTTCACATTTTTCTGAGTTAGTATTTAATAATAATTGAGTTCATACTAGAAGGATCTTGCTATGTAGGTGAAATAAGCCAAGGCTTGAAGTGATCCAGAAATGAATGGTTTCCTTATGTATCATTAATCAGGCATGTGATGATAGCAGAGGAACACAGCCTCTCTTAACATATTTTCTCTCATTTCTGCTTTCATTGAAGAGGGCTTTGGTTATGCTTTGCATATAATGTACAGTATTTGTCATGTTTCAGACGCCCATTTCAAATATATAAAACAACAATTTAGAACACTAAGAGTTAAATTTGTTGAAGTTGTCTATGCACCAGATTTCAAATATATGGGGAGAGGAGCAGGGTACCAGGGATTGAACTCAGGGGCACTCAACCAGCCCTATTTTATATTTTATTTAGAGACAAGATCTCACTGAGTTGCTTTGCACCTCACTTTTGAACTTCGGATCCTCCTGCCTCAGCCTCCAGACAGAGCTGGCAGGGTTATAGGTGTGTGCTACCATGCCCGGCTTCAAGTATTTTATACATATTGTTCCTATCATCCTTCCTAGTGTGAAATAGTCAACATATTATGTAGAAAACTGTGTTTTAATAATTATGCTAAGATAACACTAATAACTTGGGATTTCTCTAAAAAAATAAAATAAAAAATAAGCGGTAAAATCATCTTCTATTAAATATTAGTGAAATAACATAGAAAGCAGCTGTATGTGACAGATTTCAGATTTTTACCTAGACCATCTGAGTTCTGAGATTCACTCTTTTAAATATACGAAAATGGTGGTCCAAGTTGCTTTTAGAAATATAAAAATGGATATCAATAAGGCATATATCAAAGGCATAACACTACTGCGCTTGACTTTGAAACCACATCCGTCTGGGGAAAATACACATGTGTATATGAACATGCACATGCACATGCGCACATGCACACCCCTTTGTGTAAGCTTCTCATCCCCTTTCCTATCTTTGGATAATTTATGCAAATTGAAAACTGTCATTCCTCCACACTCAATTCACTCCCTATCACCCATTATTAATGTATTACCTCCGTAACGATGGTAGAGGTGAAAACACTTTGGTCATATATCCACCCATCCAGGCATGGCTCTGTCTCAGGATCAGTATAATTGACAGCTGACACATTGGGATCTAAGAGTTGCCACTGGGTCTGGCGAAAGCGATGACATTGCTCAGGCTTCTGGTTTGGGCCCACAGGGACGGAGACCCTCAGAAGGGCTTCAGCTGTCAGGTTTATGGTGACATTAGCTTCAAATCTGGGATTGCCAAGGAGGTGGATATGGCAGTGGTGAGCGGGTATGGCTGCTGTAAAGTTCTCAATGTAATCATGAGGACTTGTCAGGATACTTGAAAGCATGAAAAAGATAATTGTCAAAACCTGAAACTTCCCATTGTCGCCTACATGTTGTAGAAGTTCCTCAAAGGCCATGTTTTAAACCTGTGAGTATTAGCTGAAGAATAATAATTTTTTCAGGTTAGAAATGATAATTTTTAAAAATCTTGAGTTAAATGATTAAGAGAATGTTTTCCTAAATTAGAAAATTGAAGCATTCAGAAATTAATTTTCAACCAGATTATTTTCCCTATCTCCTTAAAAAAGTATCATGAACAAGGTGTACTATTTTCACTGCACTGAGAACAACATGTTCTATTTCATAATGACAGAGATTCCAAAGAAGAAATTCCCCTAAATGGGCAATTCCATTGAATTTATACCATTTTTAGAATATATAGTTAACATACAATACAATGAATTGAATTCCGCACAGCTCTCAGGACACAAAGATATTAATTGGCAAAGATTGTACAAATTCAGGGTACACAATGTAATGATTGAATAACAACTATCATGGCCAAATTAATTAACACATCCATCAGCATATAATGCCTAGCCTCAAATTTCCAGAATTTGTTCAGCATAAAACTGCATTTGTATCCTTTAACCAATATCTTCCCATTTACCCACCACACCCCAGCACTTGGTGAACTCTATGCTCCATTTTGGTTCAATAAGTTCAACATGTTTAGTTTGTTATGGTTTAGGTATGTGGTATCCCTAAAAAGCTCATATGTGAGGCAACACAAGAACATTCACAGGTGGGATGATTGGGTTATAAAAATCTTAACCCAGTTAGTGAATTAATCCTTTGGTAGAGATTAATTGAGTGATAACTGATGACAGGTAGGGTGTGGCTGGAGGAAGTTATTGGGGGCATGCTTTGGGGGTATATATTTTGTATCTATATCTGAAATCTCTTTCTGCTGTTTATTACCAGGTGAGCTGCTTCCATCCACCACACTCTTTTGTCATGATGATCTGCCTTACCTCAAGCCCCAAAGAATAAAGCTGGCTGTCCAACAACTGAGACCTCTGAAACCGTGTGCCCCCAAATAAACTTTTCCTCTTCTAAGGTCTCTTAGTCACAACAGTAAAAAAGCTGACTAAAACAGTTTGCAAATATAAGTCACATCATACAGGACTTACCTTTCCATGTCTGGTTTATTTCACACAGAATAATGTCCTTTAGTTTCATTTGAATTATCAAATACAATAATAATATTAAATGATGGTATTTGTATTGTATTGAAGAATAATACTTGTGTATGTGTGTGTGTGTATGTGTGTGTATCATATTCTTTACTTATACATACAGGTATATTTTAGAATGTTTAATATTGCCAATCATCAGAGAAATTAAAATGAAAACTACATGGTATATCACTTCACACCTCTTAAGGTGGTTATTGATAAAAAGACAAAAGTATTGGTGAAGAGCCCTCAAACACTGTTGACAGGCATTCAAAGTACTATAGTTACTAAAAAAAAAAATAATATGGAGTTTCCTCAAAAGGGTACAGATGGAACCACCATACAATCCAGCAGTCCCACTCCTGAGAATAAATCCAAAGGAAAGGAAACAGCAAGTCAAAGAGACACCTGTTCTCCCATGTTCATTGCAGAATGAGTCAAAATAGTCAAGATATGGAACTACTGAGAGGAAATACTACTCAGGAAATAATTTTGATGAAAAATGTTTACTCTTGCCTGCTCTGGCACAAATGATAAGCAAATACATATGACAGAAAGTCATATTTTGCAAACAAAAACACACGTACATGCTCTGATTTGATGTCTGAAACAAAAGTGTTTCCTGAAGAGTGAGGGCCTAATTAGTTCACCTGCTCAGGGGAGTTATCTTTGTAAACCTTCGTTGCAGAGTTGCAGAGGGTTGACTGGTGATGAGGTAGGAAGACAGGACTCTCATGAAGAAGTCATCAGGTTTGAAGCTACTGGGCTGAGAGAAGCCTAATAGCACTGCCAAGGGCCACCTTTAACAGGATCGTGGCTGAGAAGAACCTTGAAGATCATGTACTGGGACTAATGGGATAGTCCTAAAAGGCTGTCAAGGAGTAAAACAGATGATCTTAAAATATGCATTTTTCTCTCTTCTGTACCATATGAATATATGCAGACTACTGAGGTAGCTGAAACTTCTAAGTATTTGAGATGACTGATATGTTAATCACATTGATTTAATTATTCCATATTATCTTCATAAATTATGTTTGTTCCCCATAAATATATACATTTATAATTTGTTGTGTTAAAATTTAAAAAATAAATTTTAAAAAATCCAGATATACAAAAAAAAGACATTGACATTCAACCAGAATGTGGTCAAACAGCCTGAAAGCTAACAATATGAGGTACTTAAACCAGTGTTTTCATATTCCCGTTAACTACTTCTTATTAAATACCAGGGACCCAAGCGTCACATCCAACCTCCTCCTATATTTCTCTATATTACTTCTTTTTGCTTTGAGGACTCTACTCAATATTCTCATGGTAACCATCAACCCTTATGCTGGTATGATAAGAGAGAAGAAGGTGCCTACCTGCATGTGGTCTCTGTTGAACACAGACGCACGCAGAGAAACATCCTAAGTCTGAGCTGAACAATAAATGCCCAGTACAAGTTATGAGAAGTTAATACTTTACCTCTTGCCTCGGAGTACATTCACAGAAAAGTTCAAATTGCTGAAACTGAGTTTCATTTCACAGGGCTAGTTATTATTATCTGCTTGAAGCTAACACTAAGGAATGGGAAATAGAACAAACTCAAGTGCTTCCTTGCTCATTTTCTGTGTTTCTATGTACACAGAGCTCATACCGTAAACTTGTCTGTCATCCCTGCTGCCATCACCCAGGCTTTATCAACTGTACCTAAAAACGCTATAATTTTTAATAGAACATTTGTCCAACATAATGAAGCTTTAGAAAAGTTGGCATTCGGTTACCACTCAACCAGAAATTACATAATTACACAATTATACTGAAAAAACTGTTAAATTGATTTAATGTTAGATCAATATTCAAGTTGGAAAAAAAATTAACATTTTCATTCTGTGAACATTAGGAGAAAGTAGGGTATCATACTCCAGCCAGGTAGCTCAGGCATAAACTCGTGACCATGGAGATGAGTAGGGAGAGCAGCAGCAGAAGTAAACAAGACTTTTCCCCATCTGTGTAGGGATTACATTACTAAGGTTCTGTTGACCAGAGTGTCACGGTGAGGCTCAAAAGCAAGGATATAATCTGTGCATCTTCAGTAAGACAAATGAAAAAGTTATAGAGCAAACAATATAGAGACAGGTGATGTATTTAATCCATTCAAATAATCAATTTAACACTAATTTATTAAATGTAAATAAAATTCTGTTATCTTTTCTTCTAAATTTAACTTTAGCTTATAAATCTTCACTTCCATTTAAATGATTTAACACCATGTTTAGTCATTTTAAATATTAATGGAATACTGTGAGGGATTTCTCTTCTCCCAAAGAAGTGATTAATTTAGTGGATTTAGTGGTGGATTTAGTGGTTTCAACTAGCTCTAGTAGTTAGTTTTACACTGCTATAATAAAACACCTGGTTAGATTTAAGGGCATGGCACTGGCATTGGCTCAGCTCTGGTAAAGATCCCAGAGCAGATGACATCACAAACATCACAATGGCAAAAGGGTGTGCAGAAGCAAGAGATCTTATTGCCAGACATGAGAGCAATTCAAGAGTAAGGTCATACTTACAACTTGTTCCCATGAAGACTAACTCAGAGTCCCATGAGGATTTCCTTCACATCCTTTCCAAGAATGTGTTACCATTGAAATAAGAACCTCCCACTAGTCCCCACCTCTCAAAGGTATCTGCATCTCTTACATCACTATCTCACCAGATGCCTAGTCCAGAGGCAAATCTGACACTGCAGAGTCCCAACAAACCAGTCCAGTACACGTATCCCACCCCCCCCAAAAAAAAACCAAAAAAACAAATGGAAAGAGTAATGATACAAGGCAGAATATATTCAATATAGTTATATTGGGAAGACAAGGAGGATCCAGTGTCCTTGGACCTGTCTTCAGGGCACTGATATAGCTGTTGGGTTAAAGTGAATTGGACACAAGGTCAAGAGGAATGCATAATTCAGCAAAGTTGGTCAAACTGTGGTCTGGTTGATCTTTAACTCATTTCTGGTTCTGAAATATATCTTCAGAGAAGTCTAATTGATTGTGGAGACAATTTAATTCCCGTGAAATGACTTATTCTATTTGTGGGGAGGAGCCTCAATCATGAGTCTATTTGCAAGGATTCTTTCTTCCCGAAAGATTTTCATCAATGGCTAGAGAATTCCAGATAACACTGTAGGTTCTGGAACAAAATGTTTGAAAAGCTGGCAGTTGAAAATCTGTCAATTATTATACCCTTGAATATCTTGAAAATACCTTAGCTACTCCTACCTTGGCATCTTTGGCCTTGAAGGGGGAAAATTACAAGCTTTCAATGGATGCCTCCTAAACTCATTTTCTCCCATTGTCCATATGTGAAACACTTATAAAAACCTACATTAAGAAATAAATAGACCAATTATGGTGACTTTGAAGCAATAGTTGGATATTTATTGTGTTTTCAAAACTGAAATGTTGGGACTTAATACACTAAATGATTAACGTGACTACATGCAAACTTGAACAGGAATCTGACCCAGGGATTAAGGTAAAAGGGAGACAGACACCAAATGAAGGCAGACATGCCAAGTTTTCTGTCTGCTTTTAGTTGTTACAACTGTCCGGGTGCCTTGTGTTTCTCACCTCTGTGTTCTCACCTGAGAAGATTTCAAGCACGACATGAAATGTAGTAAAAATATAGCAAGGTTAGAAGGCACTCTCAAGAGGGAGGGAGGGCTCCTCTGAGAGGAGAGTGGAGAGGAAAGCAATGACTCACTTCTTTGTGTCCCAGTTTTTACTAGGGTAGAAGGGAGATTATTAGAAGTTCCTACCAAAGAGCACCTCTCTTAGCTCTGGATTCATGGACTATGTTGGTTAGCAGTGTAAGGTCAATTCCTGGTCATCTTCACCTGGCTGACAGGTCCTAATGGGAACCAGTTTTATGGAGCTTATGGATGGTGGGCTCTGGCCTTAATCTGTTTTCCTAGGTCTGGGAATCTCAGAACTTGTTGTTTGTGTAGGGTCTTAGCAATTAGGCCCTTCTGAACAAACATTTACTTCTCCTCCTCTGAATTTAGCTGTCTTCCTCCTGTTGTAAGAGGGATAGTTTGTAGGGCTGAGATCAGGCAAGTATCTTGTCAGACACTGTGGTGTCACTGAGGTAGGGCTTTTGATAGACTGATTTGCTCTTAAACCCCATG